CGTTTGAACAGTACCATCCTTTCCATCGATATCTTGAAGTGCATTTGCCACACATTGGACAGCACATACCTCTTGTCATTGCGAAGGTAGTGTCATCGCCGACACCTGTTCCGGGGCAAGGAAGCGCTGGCTGAAGGCTGTAAGGCTCCTGCTCGTTAGGCCATGCTGTCTTTTGCTTCAAAAAGCGGGGATCATAGTCAAGCACAGAAGGCTCAGAACCGTCACGCAGAGTCCAAAACTTGTCGCAAGATGGCTCTAGACACATCACACCTTGCAGATAAACTTGTTGCCATGTATGGTTGCATGTCGAACATCTGTATTCTTTCGGAGGTTCGAAGGACCCAAGTGGTGGTGCCAGAGAACCGTCTTCAGGTACCCACCAGCTGTCTCCGGTGGTTAGTTTCTCGAACCGGTACTTGAGAGTGATGTACTCCTTCTTGTTGCTGCCTACGCTCTTTTCGGCCCATACGTGAGTAGGCTTGAACCAATCAAGACTATTGTAACGATGCGGCATACGTACAGAGACGTCAGTGTTCTCGGCACCGCAGAAGATGGCGACAGGGTTCTGTGAGGCGATAGCAGCTCTCACTGCTTGGGACTGATTACTTTCAGACTGATCCCGGCATTGCAACATTTCCTTTGTGGCCTTGTCGCGACTCATAGCACCCCCAGCACGCGCAACAACTACATCTTGATCGATCAAATCTCTCTTGTGGGCGTTTGAATCGAACATGAACGAGTAGAGCACGCCCTTGTTGATATAGCACGCTCCCTGCCAAGCCTGATAATAGAGGACTGTCTCACAGAGTGCCTGTCTGCTGTCCGACCAAACTGCTGGATGTCCCTTCGCTTTCGGCTTCTGGTCCATTGATGTTTTCCGCATGATCTGACGAGAGGCTTCCAGAAGTTTGACAAGCTTTGGTGACGAATGCACGGAGTTGTCAACATTTTGCATCTGCGTCTGCATCTGAGCCGGGATTGATCTATTAATCTGCACACTGACTTCAGACGGCAAATCCCAATGGGGACATTCAATGATGGTTCCGTTGGAGAGTGCACGGGTCTGGAAGTGTGCTAATGGTGTCACATTTGAGTTTGACTTCCGTCGATCCTGTGTTGCAGTATCTCTAGTGGTGGTTTCAGTGCCGTGGTGGGGAGGAGCGGTAGCAGTAGTAGTGCCTACAGAATTGACGTTGATGTTATCTAACAGAGGTGGTGTGAGGCTGTTGAGCTTCGAAGCTTTCGGAGGTCTGCTGCGCCCTTTTGTAACAGCACCCTTTGTCGCATTTCCTGCGGAGACCGTACTCCTTTTCCATTCGCTGGACTTCCTGCTCTTCTTTGCCACTGCACCCTGAGCCGTGGATTCTGCCTCGGACAATTTCCTTTTCGATTGCCGAGATTTTTGTTTCTCATTTGAGGTCACGGGACTCTGTTTCGCTTCGTGAACTTTCTCATTGCATTTTTTGGCCACTCTTTTCGTCCCGGCACCCTCCGGTGAAGTTCGCTTCGTTGAGGGCCGCGGTTTCTTTGTCTTTGTAATACCAGACTCGGATGCATCTGATGTGCGACGGCGCTTGCGCGACACTGGCGGATATGCGCGCCCAGAGTCGCTTTCATCTGAAGTGATCCCAGCAGAAGCTTGTTCGATGTTGTAGTAAATCACCGGTTTGCAGTTCCTGGTCGAGAATCTCCGGAAATCCTGGCGCTCTACTGTGTCTTGAAGGCTCGAGGACTGGCTTATGGACTCTGAAAGAGTAGGAGTAATTGGCACGATATCCTGAGCAGGTTGTGGTGTTGAAGGAAATGTCGATGGATTGCTTGATAACGAATCCGAAAGAGCAGATATGTCCTTGGATGCCGCCGGGTTGAAGTCGTCCGGAGGTGTAAGTATTGGAGTCGCCATGATCGATATGCAAGACCGTACAGTGCTGCGCAGTCGTTCGTCCTGTGCGTTCCAGTCGGACTAGCAGCTGAGGGGAGATGTCGGCGAGTGAAGAGCATGTAAAGGGAGGACGTGCACAATAAATTCAAGAAAACGATGAAATGAGAACGAGTATCGAACAATTGCCATACAGTCAAGATACAGAGAAAAAAGACATATGCTTTTGAGGAGTCGTATTGTGGAGTGATGAAAACGTATTGTCAACCTACCAGCAGCTAAGCTGAGCCTCAAGTGAGGGAAAGCAGTGAAAAGCTTGCGCTCCGGCTCTCCTCCCGGCGGCACACAACAGGTGCGGCCGTGATCCGAGAATACCATTTTGAGCGCAGACGGCATGCCTGTCCTGGTACTGGGCAGAATTTATTTTCATGACGGATGAGTGCGTCGGCGGAAATGGTATGCAACCTTGAATTTGTACAAGGTCACAAACTTCCTTTCGTCCCTCTTCCGAAATATGAATTGGAGCTCTGACCACCTGCCGACTGCTACCTGCCACCTGCCACCTGCCACCTGCCACCTCCCAAAAAGGTTCAAGGTGCCCCCTCACCAGCTCCCGAAAACATGGGGTCAAGTCCCGAGTTTATGGGTCAGGCTCCCCGCTTGTCTGCAGCTGTACGATAGAGTTTGGGCGTGCCGAGGTGCTCCACGTGCCCCATCTTCCCCAAATACGCAATATCGTCGAGACCGCGAACGTAGGAGATCATCTCTCCTCATTTTTACTTATAAGCATTCCTTACTGCTGTCATTCCTATCTTTCGAAGGCTTTGTATCTTCTGTATCTATCTGCAGCGCCGAAACTTCCACAAATTGAGCACAATGCCTTTCTACTCGCCCTCTTGGGTTCCCAAGCTCCCTTTTGAGCCGCCCAGCAATGTCTCGATAGAGGAGTTTATGCTCACCGAAAACTATGGACGGTATCCCCTGGGTTACTCGCGCAATCCCTTTACCTGCGGTTTGACAGGCAAGACATACTCGGCTCTTGAGGTGAGGGATCGCGTGGATGCTCTGGCACGAGGACTCAGCAAGGAGCTAGCCTTCGAAGTCAACGACGGTACAGAATACGACAAGGTTATTGGAGTCTTCAGCGTCAACACTGTCAGTTCTTTGTACGATACTGGGAAAGCACGAAGCTGATGCAGCGCAGCTTGATACCATCACTCTTGCTTGGGCTACTCACAGATTAGGAGGCATTCAAACGCCAGCCAATGCACAGTATTCGCAATCCGAGCTCGAATATCAGCTGAAGGACGCTGGCGCAAAATGCCTCTTCACCTGCTTACCCCTCCTCGAGATCGCAAAAGCAGCTTGCAAGAATGTTGGCATACCTGAGAATCGCATTTACTTACTGGCTGTCCCGGAAGCACTCGCTCCCGGTGTCTCCGGCCGAGGGATCAAGAGTGCAGACGATCTCATCAAAGAAGGTAGTCAGCTTGAGCGGCTCCCTGCTCACAAATGGCGCGAAGGAGAGGGCACAAAGCGAACAGCCTTCCTTTGCTATTCGAGTGGAACATCCGGCCTGCCTAAAGGTATATTACTGCTTTCGGGCCATGATGTTACACAGTCTACTGACCATGTTAAAGGCGTCATGATATCCCATCGAAATGTCATTGCCAATACTCTCCAAACAAATGCCTTCGATTCGAAGTGGAGAAAAGAGAGTGCGCCGGCAGATTCGACCGACACTTCCAAGGTTGTTCTTGGGCTTCTACCAATGAGCCATATCTATTCCCTTATCGTATGCTGTCATGTCTCGATATACAGAGGAGATGCCGTCATTATTCTCCCTAAGTTCGAGATGACATCCTTCCTCGAAAGCATTGCAAGATTCAAGATCGAAGACCTCTTCCTGGTTCCGCCTATCATCATCACGATGACCAAGTCAGCTAGTACGCTAGCAAAGTATGACTTGTCCTCCGTAAAGACTATCTTCACAGGGGCCGCCCCACTAGGTGAGGAGACTTCTAATGAGCTCCAATCTCAATACCCGAAATGGACCGTCAAGCAAGGCTACGGCTTGACCGAGACGAGCACTGTGGTGTCTACGCAAGATCCGTCCGACCTTTGGGCTGGATCGTGCGGCAGCCTTCTTCCCGGTTTCGAATGCCGTCTTGTGACGATCGAAGGAAATGAGATTACTGGATATGACCAGCCAGGCGAACTCTGGGTTAAAGGTCCATCTGTGACTTTGGGCTATCTCAACAATATTAAAGCCACTCGCGAAACCTATGTGGACGGCTACATGCGAACCGGTGATGAAGCTGTATTCCGCAAGCATCCAAAGAGCGGCAACGAGCACCTCTTCATTACGGATCGCATAAAGGAACTGATCAAGGTCAAGGGACTTCAGGTTGCTCCTGCCGAACTCGAGGCTCACCTCCTCACTCATCCTGCCGTCAACGACTGCGTTGTCATTGGCATTCCCAGTGACAAGGAGGGTGAGGTGCCAAAAGCCTTCGTCGTCAAGAGTCCCAGTGTCGGTCTGGAGGAGAGTGAGGCTGGCCTAAAGAGGGACATTGCTCGTCATGTTGAGAAGACTAAGGCCCGGCACAAGTGGCTCAAAGGCGGAATTGAGTTTATTGACGTCGTGCCCAAGAGTCCATCGGGCAAGATACTCAGGCGCCTGATAAGGGACAAGGACCGGGAGAGTAGAAGGGCCAAGGGAGCGAAGCTGTAGACGACATATGACTGTAGATATGTACTGTACTTTTGTAGTCAGTTATTATTGTCCTCTACAACAAGCAAATATCATAAACTTTTTGAATCTAACATGCTTGCTCAGCTTTGTCGAAGAAAGTTGTCATTGATATAAGGGCTGCCATAAATCCGTGCATCGATCCCATCGACTCCACTCCACGGGCAAGAATTTATCACTCCAATCATTGGCGCGACGGATATACTCGAGGACGCTCGTAGTCATTCGCAAAGCTGATCCTTTCAATTCCGCTACCTTACCAACACAGATCAACGACAATCTGCGAAAGAAATGCCAGCGAAAGGCGCAGTGTTCTTTCAGTGACCTAGAATCCTAGAAAAGGCGCATAAAAAGCAAAAAATGAAATACTGCTGCAACTGGGAGTCGAACCCAGGTCTGCTGCTATCGCAAGTTTGGGGTGGAACAGTTGATCCTTCCATGGAAGGCAGCAATGATACCGTTACACCATTGCAGCATTTCGATGATATGGTACGTTCTTATGGTAAATATATCCTATAATGAGCCTAGAGTCGAATCAGGCCAGCCAAATACTCGCATTATCGAATTTTGTCGTCCTCAAAATCGCTATGGTGAAATACTCACATGCACAACTCTTGGTACGATTATCTCAGGGAATTTCCTGGTCCTATATAGCGCTGCAAGAGAGAAGTGACCCAACACGTAGTCGCGAATTGTGACTTGAAAGGCGCAAGGTATCATTTGCTATCTTCGCGCTATCTCACCTTTCTACATCTCGATCCCCCACCCACCCTTCCATTGGCCGTTTGACCAAGACCCCAGACCTCCATCCCAGGCTTTCCCTTCGTGCGATGTGACGTTTCGCATTCTGGGTTCAGCCGTACCGCTTGCTTTTCTCCGTGTTCTTGCATCGTTCGATCTGCTACGCAAGGGGCTGGCTCGTGACATTCGTGCACGATGACGAAGGCCCATGCCCCTCTGATTGCGCCGCTGATTGCCCCTCTGAATGCCCCTCTGTTGTTATAGTCGCAATCAGCACGCGATAATCGCATCCCTTGTCTCTACATGCTGCGCATTGAATCCGTCCACCACATAGACATCAGGCCACTTTTGACAAATCGACATCAACCCAACATATAACAATCCGCCTGCAAGTCGCACCCAGAGCAACGCAATCGTAAATACAAACGACCATTAAAATTCATCATGGAGTCAAGCCCGCCAGGATGTTCACAGTTTGACGACATGGATATTGACGCAGTCCGAGCGTCTCCTATGAGTCAAGTATTGGAGCTACCAGAACTACTGGAGTTGGTGTTGTCCTACCTGCCGCGAATGGAACTGCTACTTGCTCAACGAACATCAAGGTTATGGCAGCAGGTAATTTCATCGTCACCACTCCTTCAAAAGATGCTGTTCCTCCAGCCGGACTGGAAGCTCGAAGGTCATTATGCTGACGACAAACCGGGTTCCCGTCCTTTGAACAACCTCATGCTACGGAAGATTATGGGCGGCATGTATCCGACTATGACTCTTCAAAGACTGTTGTTCACGACGAAAGAGGACTTTGAATTTGCTAAAAAGGCATCCAACCTGTCTCTCTCGATCAGAGAACCAGCCGAACCAACCTCCGCAATGCAGCACGAAGACACCAACGCCAGCTTAGGATTTTGGGCTTGGAACATCAATGTCTCATTCCCGGCCGACGCACTCCTTTCCGCGCAAAGCTGCGACCCGGCAATTGGATACGAGAAAGCGTCTTGGCGTAGAATGTTCGTATCACAGCCTCCAGCTACTAGCCTGCACCTCACCAGGCGATGGCAAAGGTCAGCGCTGCCGGTGATCGAAGCAAAAGGAGGCGTGACCATGCAGGATCTCGTGAATGGCGCCGATCAGAAACGTAGCCGATGGAACGAAGTGTATATTAGTAGCGATCGAGACTGGCATCTGGAGGGTCCGATTAAGTATAGCCATTTCCTGGGGGAAAAGGGAAAGCAAAAGGTTGCGGAGTGAATCTGTTGAGCTGTATTCTGGATAGAGTAGAATTCCCAAAACGTGTTTGTAATATACAGATGTATGAGTACATTTTAGCAGCCACTGCCATCCCCGAGCATGAGTCGTTGCGGGTATCATTCGTCCAAATCTATTCGTTCTCTTTGGGTTCCTCATTCCCATCCGTCGCTTTGACCTTCGGGAACGTGTTAGTCCCGGCGTAGAGCTGTCCTTTACCTTCGCCAGCTTGCAGCTCGACGCTTGTTGCAACCGGTTGATTTCCACGGAAGCGCTTCCTCATGTCCACCATGCCTCGTTTGCATGAACCGTAGCCGCGTTTTAATTGGAGACATGTGACTGGCAGAGTATCGACAAGAGGTTCTCTTAAGCAGTCCGCAGGCTTGTTGCGGTATACCATCACGCAGTCGCTCTGCTGTAGGCAAGCTGCCAGAGCGGCGCCTGTGCATGACATTAGTGGCGGAGACCGGGACGCCATGGGGAGCGCACTCACGAATATCTTTGCATGATGATGGCATGTTGGTGGTCCAGTATAGCTGCTATCGCTGATCTGATATTGGAAAGCTGAAAAGTCTCACAACCATTATCCGCCACAATGTCGAAAGGACTGGCAAATCACCTAGCTGCTAGACGGGCAAATCTTGGAGAGAGATCTGCCCAGCTTCATCTTTCGACCATCCACCGAAATTGGTGTCGGATAAGTCCGCAGAGCCGCTTGGTCCTAGCGCTTGGCTTTCACATGTCGGCCGCTGTCCTTCGTTCAATGACGCAAAGGGCCGAAATAATGATTCGGGGTTCGGGGGGCTGATCCCGCCCAATCCCCAATCCGAGCGGGCGCATTTCAAAACATCCACCTGCAGTCTGCCTGCAACCTCTGCAAGCACGCAAGCTCTTACTCTTTCGGGCGCCAATTCTGAAAGCAACGATTTAGCACGGCGCACGAACCTACAGCCTGCACTGCGATCAGCCACTTGCGCCGATTGTGTCAGTTCTGGGCGCTGCCCCGCTGCGGTCTTCGGATCTTGTTGACCACATTCACATGTCGGCAAATTGGCCTTGTCTGGCGCCTATATAAGTTGTACTCTCCATACCACAACCTTCAAGATGCCTCACGTCCCTTTCATTGGCCGTCTGCACATGTACGTCCACTTTGCTCGCAAATTTCGGTCCATTGCTGATCTTGAACAGGCAGGAATATTTGGCCCTTTTCGGGTCCTTCATTCTCGTTGGACTCGAGATTGTAGCCCGCGTGATCACCCTTGCTCTCCCGGATGCCGTAATCCGTGGTCTCTACAAATTGTCACGCAAGATATTTAATCTCTTCTCCTCGCCTCAAGGACGCAGATCACGTAACAGGAAGAGATCCGTGTCGTCTCCAATAGCAAAATCATCGGATTTTGTGGAACTCTGCGAGTTATATGGTTACTACGCGGAAGAGCATGTCATTCAGACAGGAGATGGCTACCTGCTTGGAGTACACAGGTTGGGTTGGCGCAGAGGGGAAGAGGAACAAAAGGTCAACAGCGGGGAAGGCAGCATCCAGAAAAAGGTTGTCTATTTGCACCATGGACTCCTTATGAACAGCGAGGTTTGGGTCTGTTTGACTGAAGAAGAGCGCTGCCTACCATTTACACTGGTAGATCAGGGTTACGATGTCTGGGTGAGTGCAAAAGAAATCCTTGTTTGTTTATGCCCTTCTGACAACATCTCAGCTTGGAAACAACAGGGGGAACAAGTATTCGAAAAAGTCTGTCAACCACTCTCCGGCCCACAGGGAGTTCTGGAACTTTTCAATCGATCAATTTGCTTTCCATGACATCCCGGACAGCATCAATTATATTCTCGACACAACCAAGCAAAAATCTCTGTCGTATGTTGGATTCTCCCAAGGCACGGCACAAGCCTTCGCGACGCTATCGATTCATCCGCAACTCAACGAGAAGGTTGACGTGTTCATCGCCCTGGCTCCTGCAATGGCGCCACCTGGGCTCGCCTCGGGCATTGTCAGTTCGTTCGTCAAGACCTCTCCCGAAGTGCTCTTCCTGCTCTTCGGGCGGAAAGCCATCCTCAGTAGCACAACAATGTGGGAATCTCTTCTATACCCAGCTCTATTTTGCTGGGTCCTCGACAAGAGTCTGGATTTCCTTTTCAGCTGGAAGACAAAGAATATCTCTCCGCATCAAAAGCTGGCAGCTTATCCACATTTATTTTCTTACACAAGTGTCAAATCTGTGGTACATTGGTTTCAGATCATTCGGACAGGAACTTTTCAGATGTACGACGATGAGATCCAGGCTCCCATCAGTATGGCAAGCGGAGCAAAGTACTACAAGGTTGCCAAATTCCCGACTCGAAATATCAAGACTCCAATCGTACTGGTCTATGGCGGCAGCGACAGCTTGGTAGACATCAAAATCATGATGCGGGAGTTGCCGAAGCACACAGAAGCAATAGAGATTCCCCATTACGAGCATTTGGACTTCCTATGGGCTTCAGACGTTGACAAGCTTGTTTTCCCGCATGTACTGCAAGCGCTAGACTTTCATGCGGGTCCGAGCAAAGTCAAAGAAGCCAAAGCATTGCGAGCTACGGTACAATCACCACAACTTCCGAGCTATTCTGAAACCGAGCGGGCCACTCCCAACACCAAATTGCCGCAGTTGGCGACAGGTCTGGATTCTGAAGATGACGATGCTGATGATGACTCAGATAGCGCAGAACGCCGTCGGACATTCCGTGCTGGTCATTCGCCCCATCCATCTATAGTTCAACGTCACAGTATTTCCGGAGGAGTGCCGGTCATGGCCGGACGCAGCTCTGCTGGACTACTGGCTGCATCACCTTCATCCAATAAACCAGAAGGATGGTGGTCTTCAGATGAACCCAGCGGCACTATGGACGAATCGCCAACAGCGCATCGCACATCAGCAACGGGAAGCAGTCTGTTGGGGGTAGACCACGATGGCCTAAGTCACAAAAACCGCAAGAGCAGTCGAATGAGCATCGAGAGCAGCCGGAGCAGCGCGAGTGGCAGGAGCAACGAGAAAACGGTCAGCTTTGGCATTGGAGTCGGCAAAGCCCAGCCTGCGGAGAGCGTGGTAGACCGTGCCAACGTGACACCGGAAAAGATAGAAGAGGACAAGGCAAAGAAGAGGGGTAGGAAGAAATAGGATCTCCTCTACGCCCTGTATGGAAAGAAATGATGTGCACATAATCCTGGGAATGATTGAAGGGCCATGGGCATCCGGCTGTGTTTATAACAGACCATAAGACTTCAGCAGTCAAGAGTAGATGCCGACACATGTCAATGCTGGTAGATGTCGAACAATCACAGCCACACAATGATACTGCGTTTTGTTTGAGTGCTAGCGGGCTCAATCACTTTGACAGAATCATCCGCGATTCGACCGACAGGGCGATTCGAAGATGCACGCCGAGGGTGCGATCCCGTCCGGCGCTTTCCAGTCCCTACGAAGCACGCAGGGT